TCCAGGTCCCTCTGCAGAGCCCTTCTGACTTCCCCTTATTTAGTACCAAGTGCCACCATTCCTATAATATTTATATTTGTACATTTTATTCCCTATATTCTTCAGAGTGAAGAATGGCAAGCTTCACTACAATTTTACTGCCTTGGATAACTTTTTGGATCACCTGTGGGAAAATAAGCTAATTCCAGGTAAGGGGAGCTCCCTGCCTCCACAACTTGGTACATCTGTTTGCCCATATTGTACAGACATTAGAAAATTCCTAGAGAGCTTTCCCAAAGCTTTTTGATAAAAAGGTTTTTCCAAAGGTTTTGATAAAAAATAATTATTTTCCTACTTGCTTTTACCTTATATCCAAGAAAATGGAAACAGTGTGAGCAAAACAGTATCACAGCAATTAAGACAACATAAATGGTTTTACATTGCCTTAAAAGGCAGTTTCTGATGTGACAGGAGATCTCTTGAAGAGGAGAAAAGTTTGTACCCATTGACTTGAACCTGAAAGGACCAGAGAAGCAGATATTCAAGGTATAACTTCCCTTGAATTTCTGAACATCCACTGTTGAAAGTTTCCTGTGAGCCCTGAATTTATATTGGCAATTTTTAGTATTGATTACTAGAGTAATTGATAAAGTAACAAGTGTGAGCAATCTCAAATATGAAGTATTTCTGTTGGGGAACATGTAAAAACTGGAAAGAAAGCCCATTGAATGATGCTTCTTCATTAACAAGTTTGTTTCAGGTAATGCAATAACCCCTTTGTTTATCTTAATGAGATGGCATTCACAAAAGAAATTAGACCAATTCCTTATGTCTTTTTTAGGATTTGAACTGATGGGGAATCCATCAGGATATTTTTCAGATTTTGAAGATAAAGAACAGGTAGTACGGTGGAGAAACTTAATTACAGTTCTGGCCAACAGATACATAGGTAAGTTCAGAAAAAAACCCCAAAGTCTTGTTATTTATTCTGTTGTAATCCTTTCTAGCTAATTCAGAAACTTCTGTGTATTGTGATCAATGTCAAGACCCTGGATTTCAGCACAGAAAAAAACCATGCCAGAACAGGCCGGGGGTAATAGCCCCTGTTTATGGCTGGTCCAAGACCAACATCCAGAATTGTGCCTTTTGGGTAGCCCATTTAGCTTGCCTCTAAGGATTGACTTCTGACTTCTTTATGTTGTTGTGGTTGTAAGCCACCGGCTTGCACTAGGATATGGTAATCCAAACACTTCTCACATGCCAGCTTCAAGTATTTCTAACGAGATAGCAGCCTCAACCTGAGTTAAGGCTAGGTGAATGCCCTAACTGCAAGGCTGTAATTTACCTCCTTCTTACCTTTTATCTTCTTTAAATATTGTTGCATTTCATCAAAAGAGAGATCATTTTGAAACTAACAAATCACATTTCCCTTGTTATTAAAAGTATTTATACCCCGTTGTAGTTGTGGGTGCTGAACCTCACCTACAGGACTAATTGATAGGATTGTCTGGATCGGTGACTAATTGGTAGTACTGTCTGAATATGCAGCTCACTGATAAATGTGGCCTCTCCTACAGATAGGTATGGATTGGAGCATGTTACTAAATGGAATTTTGAAACGTGGAATGAACCAGACCACCACGACTTTGACAATGTGTCTATGACAGTAAAAGGTAAGTGTGTTTTGGGGCACTTACTAGTGTGGTAAAGTGAGACACGTGTGTGGGATGAGTGGAGGGGTGACACTGAGGCAGGAGATACACTGGCAAAGAAATTAGGTAGACAGGAGAGATAAGGAATGTGAAAAGTACACTGAGTCTGTTTTGATGTCTTCTCATGTTGTCAGTGCATAGGAAAAGGTAATCCCCAGTGAGATCTTGCCAATAAATAATAGTTATAACATCTCCTTGCAGTTTTAGATCCAGTTTATGTTTTGAGTTATCATCTTTGATATGTGCATCTGCTTGGTCTTCAGGGTTTCTCAACTATTATGATGCTTGCTCAGAAGGACTAAAAGCAGCCAGTCCTTTTCTAAAATTTGGAGGGCCTGGGGATTCCTTCCACCCCTTACCCAAGTCACCCATATGCTGGCATCTTCTGTGTCATTGCTACAATGGGACCAACTTCTTCACAGGGGAGACTAGCGTAAGGCTGGACTACATCTCTCTCCATAAGAAGGTCAGTCCAAGATTTTAGTTTAAAGCCATTTTTTCAATCATTTCAATCAAAGTTACATTTGACTCTGATTTCTGAAGTTGTTGATGATGAAGGTGAGTGTCCAGCCTATAGCAGGAAGCATGGCTACCTGTTCTTACAAAACTTCGAAGACGTTCAGTTACAAGATTTCAACTTGAAGCAAATTTGCCTTTGTCTATTTCCCAAGGGTAGAAGAATGTTTTCCATTTTATATTTTAGGAGGAGCTAATGCAAACAGCACATGCTGTAGTGGATAAGGTAAAAATACTAATATTGTCTGATCCACAGCTCCTCAGGGACTCAGGAACATGTTTTCAGAATGTTTATGCCTGTAGGCTATGTCTATTTGTTTTCTACTCTCTGTTCTCTTCCACTAAGCAGATATGAAATGTTGTTGCAGGGAGGTGGGAGTTCTCTCTACATCTTGCAACAGGAAGTAGAAGCTGTTCAACAAATTCAAAAGCTGTTTCCAAATTTTAGTTCTGTTGCCATATACAATGATGAAGCAGATCCAATGGTTGGATGGGCCACCCCACAACTATGGCGAGCTGATGTGACCTATGCAGCTATGGTTGTAAAGGTAACAGTTCACTGGCAGTCTTGTCACAGTGGTGTCTCCTGATGTGTTAATGCAGTTACAGAGGTAGACTTACAGTTAATTTTTAAGCAGCTAGTCAGACTAATAGATCCAAGAAAATAAGAGCGTGCTACTGATGTAAGTGGGTTTTCCCTGAATAGTCTGGTTTTAATAGCTTGATTTAATTTGTGTTACTTTCTTCATCTTTCCTTAAAAAAATCCCAACAAAACCAAACTGAGCACTTGTCAGGGAAGGGCTAGAGAACTGAGTTGGAGAACGTGTGGGATATTGTAAACAATCCTGCAGTTATGTCCACCTGATAAGACTACACCCAGACATGCTCTCTCCATGCAATACTACTGCTCTGATCTCACTACTGCTAGCTGTCACCTCACATATGTGAGACATTACTTCCCATCTCTTTCATAAGTTTATCTCATCAAGAGACATCAGGTATAATTAACAAGTCTGTTAGGAACTTCAGCAGGCTGACAACTGAATGGTCTCACAATTGTGTCCCTGAAGGAACACAGCCCCCAGCAGAAGCCCATTCTTTGGTTTTAGATAATGACTGTACACATGGTCTTATTAATTACTGGTAGTAATTACTGATGTT